ATAAGAGACCTTCATTCCAGAGGGTCTGGAAGGCTTCGGACCCTCTGGGGACGGAGCAAGGATCGACCTGCGCCGTTCAAGCTGAGCAGCGCTGCGGCGCATTTTTTGGCATTGCCAACTCCACTACGCCGCGGCTGACTGCGGCCGAGAACGCCTCTCGCGGTCTGCGGCCTGCGCCAATGCAGGGATGGAGCGTGTGGTGAGTTCGTGTCGCACGGTCACGCCACCGAAAACGTGGTGCAGCAAATATCTTTGGAAATGCCGCAGACACCGGCGGCAGAGCACGCGAAAAAGTAGACCTGCAGAGCTGCCAGGAAACTAACTCCCGCGCCCATCGGTCCGTCCTACTACTGAATTGCGCAGTGGCAAATTCCACTGGCTCGGCAGATGCAGCGACGTCCGCCACCGTACCTCCAGCACGAAGCGGAATGGTATACGAGTTTTGGTGGAACAGTCTTACGGGCCTGGATCGCGATGCTTCCCGGATTTCCGGGCGCTCTTGGGCGCTCCTGGGTCCTGCCTGCCGAAGCGCGCCGGGTCGGCCTCCGGGGCAGTGAGCCCACCCGAAACGATCCGACGAACCTGCAAGAGCCTCCCGAGAAACGTCCAAGACGGTCCATGAGAGCCCAAAGACAGCCCACGATGGACCCGAGACGGCCCAAGAGGCCCCCAATACGCTCCAAGAAGGCTCCAAGCGGCCCTCCTCATACGTTCCAAGAAGGCTCCAAGAGGCCGCCCAAGAGCGCCCCGAGAGGCCAAAATCAATGATTCCCCATCGATTCTTGACGAATTTGAGCGTTCTCGCCTTTTCGATCTGCGACGCTTCAAGACGTCCCGAGAGGCCGCCAAGATCTCCAAGACGCCCAGAGGCACCCAAGATGCCACACAAGGCCCGCGAGCGCCCCGCAGCATGCATCCACGATCACATGCAGCCACACAGCTGCCAGGAAACTGAGTCCTACGCCTCCAGAGGCCTCCCAAATCGGGTCCGAGTGCGTGGGGTCGGAGGATCGTGCCGCATCGCCGATGCATCGCCGATGTATCGCCGATGTATCGGCGATGCGGCGCGATCCTCTGGCTTCATCTACTCGGACTCCATCTCGGAGGCCTAGAGCTCGAGTAACGGATCGGCAATTGAACTGATTTACCCCGGACTTCATGTTTCTCGTCGAATCCATGAAGAATGCGTGGAAGCTTGGTAGAGTTACGAAAAGTCTACGTTTTCGTCCATAGATCCAACGTTCAAACTGATTTTGGGGTATGCCAATTCTTTGGCCGATCCCCTACTCGAAGAGCCTCTCGATCCGCCCAGCTATCAGGTCGTGCGTGTCCCCCTACAGGCGGATTTTGGACGAAAAACAAAACATAGTCAAAAATAGCCAATAATTATCAACGATACTCAAAACATCGTCCCCTGACTATCTTGTTGACCATCTTTGAATCCTCCCCCTGTAGAGGGGCGGGCCCGACTTAACCCTACTACCTCATTGCGCTGCGTCGAACTCCACCAGCTGGGCGGAGATGCTGCGATGCGGGGGCCGCCCGCGCCCTGGGCCCTGGAGGGCGGCTGGGGCCGAGGAGTAAATCCTCCAGGCGCCCGACCCGTGTACTTCGAGCCCCCGAGGCATGGTCGCCCCCTCGATGCAACGAGGCTCACCACACCAGAGAACAACCCCAATCAATGGACGGCTTGACCGACAAGGTGAGATCGACCGGGAACCCGGGAACCTAGAACCCACCGAAATCGGCCGGGAGCCAATACCGGGAACGAACCCGGGGACAAAGCTGGCCACAAACATTGGCGGGGCACTTTCGCCAAATCTTTCGCGTTCCGCTAGAACCCCTTCTGGGCAAGCACTGATTGGGGAACGAGACCTCTGGGAGCGTGCGGCTCGGCAGAGCAATTACTCCAGCACTTCCTTTCATATCGGAGAGGAGTCCATCACTGCTCCCATGAGTACTGGCGCCAGCCTTAGATCCATAGATACGGCCCACACTCCTCGGCGCACCCCTGGAGACTCCAGAGCTTCAAAATCTGCCTTCCGTGGCCTCTAAGACGTTGACAGACGGTCCCGAATCGCGAGGCGATTGGCCCAAGACGCCTACGATGGCTCGAAGACGCCCCGAGACGCTTTCGAGACGCCCCAAGAGCCTTCCCAACAGGGCCCCTACAGGCAAAAATGAATGGCTTTCTCAAGGTTTTTCATTGCGTATGGAGTTATCGTCTTCTCGAGGTTCCGACGCTGAAAGACGACTCAAGATGCCCCGTAGACCGCCCAAAAACTGCCCAAGAGGCCCCTACCAGGGCCCCAGGGCGACCAAGAGAGTTTCAAGACGGCCTGCAGAGGGGCCCAAGACGGCCAAATATGCACCAAGAGGACCCCAAGAGAGGTGAAGAGGGAGAACACGAACCGAGCATCTTATCTTTTCGCCCCAAGACAGCCCCCAGAAGCCCGAGAAGCCACAAAGCCGCCCAAAAGAGGCCCCCAAGAGGCCCCAATGCGGCCGCCAACGCGCTTCAAAACTGCCTCCAAGAGGCTCCGCCCGGCCCTCAAACAGCAGTCAAGACGCCCAGAGACGCCCACAAGGACCACCACACAGTGCCCAAGAAACCCACGACGCCTCAACTGTGGACTCCACGCCTCTTCTGGGGGTCGGCGGAATGGCAAAAGCCTCCTGAATAAACACCCCCTCCCCCACTCGACCGCCCCCGACCGGGAACAATGCCCTCTCCCGCCACCCCCGTCAAAAGCAATCCCCAATGCACCTGGCGGCAGAATCAGGAGCACGAGAGGACACGCCGCGGTTACTTTGCATATGCTTTCGACAGGGATGGCTGGGGAGTATGTGTCCGATGTGCGCCCGCCGGTCGTTGTTCCCCCCCACACACAGAAGCAACGCAACTCCAACGAACAAATGAGCTCCAACCACACAAGCGAACTCCAACCACATGCTCTCCAACGACACTTTTTTGGTCTGCGGGTCGAGAGCGAGCCTCTTCCGGTCAAGAGCTAGACTCCAACGACACACACACACACACGCACACAAACTCCAACCTCTGGGATCCGCTTCGAGAGCCAACGCGAGCGGACTGCGAAGGCACGCGCCGAAGACCATGCGGACCACGCCGCCGCCGTTCTGCAACTGCTTCCGACGGGGGAGGCGGGGGGTCGACATGCCACCCGACGCGCACTGGTGCAGCTGTCGCCGCCCGGCACACGTCTGCGCGCGTCACCGCGCACCTGGCGCACTCCACACGGGGAAGCCAAAAGGCACCGATGCTGCTGCTCTTAGGGCGGGCATGTCCTCCTACAAGCGGGCTTTGGAAGAAAAACAAATAGCCAAACAGTCTTCAAAACTGGTAACAAATAGTCGGAAAATCGTCCCCATACTAGTCTTAAGCTATCTTTGAAGATTCCTCCTGTAGAGGGACATGCCCGACTTGACGCTGCTCCCTGGACCTCTCCCGAAGTGCGCTCTGGCCAGGACTGCGAGGCGAATCTGGCGGTGGCGAGGGTCTCTTAGGAGGCCCACCAAACGGGAAAACGAGGGAAGGGCAGAGGCATGAGTCAAGGGGGCCCGCTGAAGGCCCCAGCAGGTCACCATTTATCGAACACAGGCCAGTGTTAAGTCGGGCCCGTCCCCCTACAGGGGGATGTTGGACGAACAATCAAGAATAGTCAAAAACTACCCTCAAATGCTCAAAAAAATACTTCAAAAAGCGTCCCCTGACTATTCTTTGACTGTTTCTGATGCGCACGCTCGACGCACGGCGGCTCACGCGGCGCGCCCGCCACGCCTGGGCCCCTGGCCACCAGGTGCCCAATGGTGCGCGTGGCGCACCAGGCACGCGCGGGGCGCACCTCGCGGACGTCGGGCACCTGGCGCCTGCACCGTGGCTCCCAGGTGGACGTCCGTCCGGTCGCGGCCTCTGGCCGCTGCTGCGCCGAGCCTCGGTGGCCAGCTCCACGGTGGGAGGGCGGGTGGGAGCGAGCACGACGGCCCGCGGAGCTCCCGTCGGGGACGTGGCCCGGTTCTGCGCCTGCCCCACGCTCCTGGGCCTGGTCGGGGGGGGGGGGGGCGCGAGGGCCCAAGACGGCCCCGGATTCCAGATATTCCAGGATGGCGTCAAAGATGGCACAGTTAGAGTTCAGGATGGCCTCCAGCATGCCTCCAAGGCCGCTCCAGACTGGCTCCCAGGTCTCCGAGCCGTCCTTGGACGCCGCCGAGAGGCCCTACTCCTGACAAAGCACCTGGTGTTGTTCCAATGTTTGCTGCAATCTTGACTTTGTCGCTGCCGATTGGCATCGGAGTCCTCATGATAGCTAGAATATCACCCAAAAGAACTCGAATAGCGGCCCAGAGGTGCTTCAACACGGCCCCAAAGGCTTCCAAGCGCGCACCAAAAGCGCTCCAATAAACATGTTTCTGGCTAGGGTGGATGGTGCTAACTGACGCCACCCAATCCCCGCATACGCAACCATTGAACGGAACGATTTGGGCATTTATTTGTCATCCTTGCAAGGTTTTGGGACCAAGATGGCTACAAGACGGCCCCAAGTATCCTAAGATGGCAACGAATAAGGCACGCTATGGTCAAGGTTGGCTCAAACTGGCCTCCAGCGTGCCTCCAAGAGGCTCCGAGGCAGCCCCAAGGCGGCTCCAAGTTGCCTCGGAGCTCCGAGAGGTTTCCTGAAGTGTCTAGTCCACCATGGCTGGTCTCTTTGCTTCACTGCATATTTCTCTAGATGTCCCCTCTGCAGGTAACTGGTCCAAGCGGCTGGTGAGGACACGCAAATCGTCAAGACTGACTTATCCGATTGAGTTGTCCGTGTCCTGGCCAAGCGACACCACATGCGAAATTTATAATGTGGCATTTAATGGCCTCGCCTTCTCCGTCCCCCCCACCCCGATGGTGGATGTGCGCGGCAGCGCAACTGAATAAGCTGCCCGCTTGTCAGAAGCTCGCGCTTCGCGCTTCCGCGTGCTCACCGCGGGGATCAGGACGGGCAGGGGCCGCACTCCTCGTCCCCGCAGAAGCGGCAGCCCCGCATCATGGGCACCTCGTCGGCCCAGCCCGCCGCGGTGCAGCAGAACCCCTGGCCGAGGTCTTCGTCCCTGCCTGCCGCGCCTTTGCAGCGCGCGTGGTCCAGGACGCACAGCCGGTCGGAGTTGCCGCAGGTGGCCGCCGGCGTCGCGGTGCAGTACTCCGGGGGGTGCGACGAGGTCGTCGGCGGCTTCGGCTTCATGGTGTCGGCGTAGCAGGCCTCCCACGAGGCCACGGTCATGAAGGGATGCGTGGATGGAGCGTACGAGTCCAAGCATGAAGGCTTCCACTTCTGCGGCTTGTTCGTCGAGTTGGGGAGCTTCTCCACGCCCGCGGGCCGGTCGCTTGCGCAGCAGCCGTCGTAGGTCAGCTCGTAGAGGGGCAGCTTGGCGACCCCGTGCCTGTCCATGCACTCCTGCAAGAACTTGTCCTCGCCCCAGGGTCCCCACTTCCAATCCTCGCACAGCTCGCCGCCCCAGCAGAGGTTCCGCTTGCACTCCTCCATGTTGTCAGCGACTATCTTGAAGCCCTTGGTAGACACCACCTCGAGGTTGCCGTAGAATCCCGAATCCACGCCCTTGCAATTTTCGTAGTAGACTCCTACGTTTGGCTCCCCCATTTGCGACAGCATGTCCGTCAATCGCTGCGGGATGAGCACGGCATCAATGTCTGCCTTGATCACCCAACTCTTGTCCTGCACTTTACTCCACAGAAGACTTTCTCCACGCATCTTCTGCCACACTTGATAGAATATGGCCGTGTTGGCGCACGAACCCGTATCTGGACGCGTGTACTTGCAAAAATCCCCCTCGAGATCGTCAACCTTTACTGCTTCGTAGTCCCCCACCGAGAGTTGCACGTCGCTGAAAATCCGCGAAACCTTTGGGCTCTGCAGGCGAATCTGATTATACGTAATCCTCATCGTCTACCTCAATGGTCAGCAAACTTGCATGTTTAAGGAGGAGAAGGTCTGCTACTGAGATGTCACGGATCTTGCTGGCATTCCCTTGGGTCTCAATCAAGAGGCGTCCAAGACGGCCCGAGAGGGCGTCAGATAGCCCAGCCTTCAAGGCGCCGCAAGACGGTCCAACTTGGTTGAGGATGACCTCCAGTTTGGCTCCAAGCGGCTCCACAACGGCCGAAGGTGGCCAACATGCCCTCCGAGAACATCGCCAGGAGAGCAACATCACTGACACGCCTTCTGTTTTGAAATGATGTTTGCGCCAAGCTGCTCTGCGTAACATGGCACCCAGAAGGCGCAAAGACTGCCCAAGAGAGGCACCCTAGCAGACCCCCAAGACATGGCAGGACGGCCCGAGTACCCCCCCCCAGGAGGTCCCCAAGGGCGCTTGAGAGGCCCTCAAGAGTTCCCCAAGAATGCCCCCCCTCCCAAGAAGTGGTTCCAACGAATACGGACGTTCTATTTTTCTTCCTAACCATCCTGTGGTGCTGGGTCCTCGTTGTGAAGAGACGGTCCCCGCGCTCCTCCTTCCTTCTTCCTTCCTCCCCCTCCTCCCCCTCCCTCCCCCCTCCCTGCGCTCCGACCACCCGGTACAGCGCTTCGTGGCCCCACAGGGAGCTCCACCGAAGCCCCCTCCTTAAGAAAAGTGGTTTCGTTGGCTTCTGAGACGTCTCAGCATGCGGCGGCCGCTAGAGCGCACTCCGAGCCAATGCGAACGCCGATCCTCCCCGCGCCTCGCCATCAAGGTGCGCACGGCCGGAGTCATCGTTGGCAGGGTTGCCCCGAAGAGCATCCCTCCTCCTCCTCCTCCTCCTCCTCCTCCTCGCCCTCCTCCTCCTCCTCCTCCTCCTCCTCCTCCTCCCTCCTCCTCCTCCTCCTCCTCCTCCTCCTCCTCCTCCTCCTCCTCCTCCTCCTCCTCCTCCTCCTCCCCCTCCCTCCTCCCCCTCCTCCTCCTCCTCCTCCCCTCCTCCTCCTCCTCCCTCCTCCTCTCCCTCCTCCTCCTCTCCTCCCTCCTCCTCCTCCCTCCCTCCTCCCTCCCTCCCTCCCTCCTCCCTCCCTCCTCCCTCCTCCCTCCCTCCCTCCTCCTCCTCCTCCTCCTCCTCCTCCTCCTCCTCCTCCTCCTCCTCCTCCTCCTCCTCCTCCTCCTCCTCCTCCTCCTCCTCCTCCTCCTCCTCCCCCTCCTCCTCGACGGCATGCCGCTTCAGGCTCCAGGGACAATCAAGCTTGATTCAATGCGGGCGCTGATCCTCCCTCCACCAGCTCCTCGCCATCGAAGGAGTCATCGTTGGCAGGGTCGGGCCCCCGAGGGGTCGGCGGAGATGTGGCGTGTGCCTCCGAATCTCGTACGCATCGCACGCAAATATGCCCAGCCCCCTCTGCATCTGCATCTTCAGCAGATCCAGCTCATGGTTGGGCTTGCCCTTGTTGTCGTGGAAGTGCACAGCATAGCAATACAGCGATGTACCCGGGTTTTCTGCTGCCACTTCATCCTTCGTGGCAGTGATGTCTTCGCAGGACCAGCCCTTCCCCTTCGTACAAGTCATATTGCACCAAGCGTGCTCATCATCCATCTTGAAGCATTTGGCGCCCGTTTGCTTGCAGCAACCCGAGTCCATGCAACTCTCTTTGCCCGAAGCACACACCTTCCGCGGCTTTAAGGGCTTGATGGTGCTGGCCAACTGCGTCGCGACCAAGTTGACAGGCTCCGCTCGAAGCTTCTGGTGGCTGAGAGTCATGACGGACGCGATGGCAAGTGCCACGATCACGGCGGCCGCCAGCGCGGCACGCAGCCATTTCTTACCGGTCTGTGCTGAAGGCGACAAAAGCGGTTGAACATCATCGCTGCTGGCACCCGCTGCTTGGGCGTCGCGCTGCAGTTCCATCGGGTCGAAGCGCGTGCGCGCGAGCGAGCCGCCGCAAAGCCGAGCTGCAGCCTGGAAGCAAAATGGCTTGGCTTGTGCGCAAAATGCTGCAGGCGAACAGAAGAGAAGGCGGAGGAACTCGGCTGGGGTGCTCTTGCCCGCGGGGGGCAGCACGAATCGGCCCCAGACGGGCAAATTAGGCCGAGAAGCGCGTAAGGCGTTCCAATACCACCCCGAAGGGGCCCCCAATAATCGTCCAGACATCCCACAGATGGTTCGAGACAGACTCTCCGGGGAGCTCCGCAGAAGCACGGGCTCAAAAAGGCCCCGAGACTCCAGTGGGGACACCAACTGGCCCCAACAAGCCCCCCAAGAGAAACCCCCCGATGAGCCTCGAAGGAAGAAGGATAACGAAACTGCGGACAAGAACTGGGTGGCGTTTAAGAGCCGCGCCATTTCGGATAGGGGGGCGCTGAACTGGAACTGGCCTTAGATTCACCCTCCTCACCCCCTCTCGCTCCTCCTCCCTCCCTCTTCCTCCCTCTCCCTCCCCCCCTGCTTCCCCCATCTCGATCCCCCTGCCTCCTTGCAAGCTTCGCTCCATCCTCCCTCGTGCCGTCTCCTCGTCCCTTTCTTCTTTTCCCCTCTCCCTCTCTCTTTCCTCCTCCACTGCCTACCCCCCGTCCCCCCCTTATCCTCCACGCAGACTGGCACGTCGCTGTCGTGCTCCTGCAGGTCACCGTCGCAGTCCCTGTCCTGACGCGGCCGATGCGGGGATGAAGGGGGGGGGGGAGAGAAGGCAGGAGGAGGAGGAGGAGGAGGAGGAGGATCTGCCGAGCAGGAGGATGTGCTGAGGTGGAGGAGGGAGGAGGGGGAGGAGGAGGAGGAGGAGGAGGAGGAGGAGGAGGAGGAGGAGGAGGAGGACGAGGACGAGGAGGAGGAGGAGGAGGAGGATACATATGTGGAGCAGGTGGACGTGCTGAGATCGAAAATGGTAGAGAGCGTTTCTTTATTTTCGGCGATGACGGGCGTCATTGGAGGGGGGGGTGGGAGGGAAGTATGACGTAACGCCCCCCCTCGCCGTGTGGCTCCGGCACCACAAGCGCGCCCGCGCGCACGACGACAATGAGCGACGAGCGACGAGCACGACGACGACGACGACGCGAGCAGCACGTAGGTGGCGATCTGCCCCACAGCGCCTGTGTGCACCACAGTGCTCGCGTGCACCACAGCGCGCGTGTGCACCACAGCGCCTGCGTACGCCGCAACAGTCGCGTGCAACGCAGCGCCTGTGTACACCACAGCGCTTGCGTGCACCACAGCGCAAGTGTACACCACAGCGAATATGTGTATACAGCAGCAACCGTATGCAACGCATCGCCTGTGTACACCACAATTCTTGCGTGCACCGCAGCGCCTGTGCGCACCACAGCGCCTGTCCACACCACAGCATCCGCGTGCAACGCAGCGCTGGTGTACACCACAGTGCCTGCGTGCATAAGACAAGCAGAAGGAACAAGTAGGTGAGGATCTGCTGCGGACAGCTGAACGCCACGCCAAGGAACTGCTGATAATAGAATACGACGTTTTTTCCTCCTCCCTCCTCCGCCACCTCCACCTCTTCTTCCTCCTCCTTCTCCTCCTCTTTCTTTTCCTCCTCCCTCACCCTTCTCCCCTGTCGTGCGGGTCGGCGCTACAGCGCACGTGCGCATCTCAGCGTGAACCGCAAAATGGTTGATTGAATCAGTCGAACTGGGTCTCGGACGGCCAATTTTGATGGAGGCTTCTGGACGCAGATGGGATGAGTTAGGATGATGCGGGCGGACTCGGGATGACTCGTAGATTCCAGCGGCGCTCCCTTTTCCACAAAGATTCCGTTCCAAATCCTATAGAAAACATTTGTTTCCTGTGGAATCCACAGGCGCTCCATTCTATCATAAGGATTCCTTTTATCTTGTATACGCCACAGTGGTGCTCTGTTGCACACGGTTACTGTGGTGCACAAAAGCGCCGTGGTGCACACAGGCGCTGTAGTGCATGCAAGCATTGTGTACACTGTTGCTGCGTTGCACACGGCTAGTGTGGTGTACGCAGGCGCTGTGGTGTACACAAGCGCCGTGGTGTCGGCAC